TCTGGGTTAAATTTTCGGAAAAAGGGAAAGATTTGACGGGTATAAAAACATCACATACGGTCGTTAAAGTTCTAAAATGACAGATAGCAGTAACAATAGGCTAAATTATAAGCGAAAGGCTTATAGGTTTATCAACAATCTCTGATCAGAGTTAACAAACAGGTGTCAAATAAATGCCTCGGAACAAACCTTTCTCATGACCTGATCTGGTTTCGGTTTTCACCTGGAGACAAAGAAGAAAACAATTGGAAAGTGAGGAATGAGATGCAGGACTAATCGTAAGATGAGATTCAAGGAAGAAATACTATAAAAACTCCCGAATCTCAAAGTCAAAACACAGTTTTCCTAAAAATTCTATGGCAATTAATCTGTGGCGTCTTCATCTGGATTAAGCCTGAAGTCGTGCCCGCTAAAATTTGTGTTGTGTCTCGCAGACTGCTCCAGTTGTTGAAGCTCTGTCACCTACCATCGCTTCTGTGACCAAGCGAACCCATCTCATTTGCTCTGGGGCTATGACTGATCAGCTTGCACTATCGTAGGACCAGCGATACGCCACTCCTCAGTGCTGAGAGAAAATACTGTAGATAAGCCATTTCCAACTACCTCAAATATGTAAGCATCTTCCCGTTCTAATAAACGATTTTCACTGTAAAATACTTGTCATCTTTGTCTCCTCTGCCACACCAACATACGAATGGACCCTAGACCATCACCGACATTAACTGATTTTCCCTAAAAGTCGGCAAGCTTACAAATTTGACACAAAAAGCCGTTAAGTTCGTTATCCGAGACAAAAATTTTCCAAAATAAAAGTTCGTAAACCGATTTGGTCATTAACCAGGACATTCATTAACCGAGGTTCCACTGTACTACAATTTACACCATAGACTTCTATGCACATGTTTTTTCCTGCGAGTTTTAATACAATTTGTTTCCAATAAACATCCAAAAACAGCTACTATGTCATCATCAGATGCATGGCCGACTGACTAAATAAGAGATTTTTCTCCTCGTGTGTGGGCAATAGGAAATTCTGAATTTCCTCAAGGCCGGGCCTGCACAATTATTCCTGAAAGGATTTCCTTAACATGTCCCCTTAAACTAAAACTCTTAAGGTCTAGCTCAGTGCTTTGCGTCTTATTCACTCGAATATCTAAAGACTCAAAACTTCCAAAGACTTATGAGCTAAACACTAAATTTTCAGAGGCTCAATTTTTGGAAATGCTTGAGAAGTGGGTCTTATTATTTGGACAAGAAGCTGTTTGTATTTAGGCCTACATGCTCACCAAGTTTCATTCAAATTGGAGATTTGAATGTCTGTCTCTCCCCTTTCTAGCAATAGGAATCATTTTTGAATAAATTTTTTATGAATAATTCTGAACAACACATTTGATCACAATGTTTAAACAGTATTTCACATGTTCTGTCATGTCAAAATTTTTGATTTAATCTACTGAAAAGGATCAAAGTGAAAAAGGTCACCCCAAAAATTCCCCAAATTTTTGTCAGTTGATAAAAACTCCCAATCTGGAAACGCTGGGCAGCATTGCACAAAACTGCTTTCGGTTCTCAACATCATTTCCTAATTTTCTTCCCGAACTTGCTGTGTGATGTCATTAAATCACTGGATGTGAATGAAGCTTGACATTTGGCTGTTTTTTCCAAATTGTGATTTGTGATTCAATTTCATGCTGAATGTCAAAACAAGCAGACTAAGATTTTATCATTACTTTTTATCATTAAAGTGGCAATAAAAATATACTGGCTATCGCCAGTATATTTTTATTGCCACTTTAATGTTTTTTCTTCACACTTTAAAATTTCCTATATCTAAGGAGATAGCTATATAGCTATAGACTTGGTAACTCTGCACTGAGAAGATTAATGAAATTAGAATTATCAAGTTGTAAATTATGGCATTAGTCCTTTTTGTTACAAGAGTATGTTTAAAATACAAAAATACAAGTTCCTATAAAGAATTCCTACTCAAATTTTTGTTTTGAATACAATGACTTTCCCTGACCCTAATGTCTTTTACAGTATGGCACATTACAAACATACATTGTTTTATTTTGTTAAAGTCAAATTCTATTACTTCTCTAACTTTTTAATTAATAGTTATATATTTTTTATAATCACCGAATTATTAAATTAAAAATAAAATGTTTTATTAAATAAAACTAATTTATCCTGTTATTAATCCACAACTGTAAAACTACATGGCTTTGAAAAAAGAAACACGCAATTATTTATTTATTATTAACAAATCCTGTATAATAGTGTACAAAAGTATAAATTTATTAAATTTATCCCTTAATAAATTTCCCAAAATTTATAAAATATTAATAAACTGGAATAAATCAGAAATTGTTTTATCAATACAATCAAAATTATTAAAATGAAAAATTATAAATAATACCATTTAAATTAAAATTATTTATCATTTCCTATACTTTGTTATAATTTATTTTCATCTGTTCATTAACACTGCCCTCAAACTGAGAGTGTAAATAGTAATTGTAAGGTATTAATCTAACATTGATAAAATATTTCAAAAATATCTTATCAATGTTAGATTAATAAAAGTATTATAGATTCCTCTCTCAAATTCATAATACTGCATAATTTAATACAGCAGTTTTAAAATCTAAAAGTGTTTCAAAATTTAAAAATGACAATTGATATTGTCATACGTTACATTTGGGACTTAGTTCAATATCCTAGAATTTTGCAGTGCTCTCCTCCCTGTTGAATTTTATAATTATTCTTCACATAAACAATTAATATTGGTTTTAAAATTAATCTGCACTTTCAATAAAAGAAGTAAATCTGTATATTATTGAGAATTAAACAAACCTGAAAATTAAAAAAAAATATGTATTTTTTTTAATATGATCACAATTTATAAAGTCTAATATTTTAAAATCACTCAATCATTCTATTGCATTTGTAAGATTGTAAGTCTTATGTTTCTAAATCATATAGTACATTGATAATTCAAGGAGTTATCTATCACACGGGAATGCACTTCATTTATAAGGAAAAATCAAATCTTTGAAATAGTCATTCTGCAAGATGCATTTCGAGTTTAGACTCCTCTTTAGTTGCAGACTATACATAAGATGCTGGTGTTGAATAAAACTAAAAGGACATATTATAAAAGATAAAGCATTTACAAATGAAAGCAGCAGTGTAAATTTTATTTCAATTCCCTCAATATAAGAAAAAAAATACACATACTAGTACACATGTATATTTTCTTGTATAACAGAACTGTAATAAAAGATTACTATGTTTTTTTTAAATGTTAAATTATGGAAGAATAAACTTCTAATTTAGCAAAAATTATTTTAACAAACACCTCCTAAGAAACAACTATATGGAAATAGTTATGTTTGAAATTGATACAAAAGATTATTCCTTTTTGAAGCACTATCTTTATGGCAAGATATGTGAATGATATATTTCTGATGTATGAAATTACTAAAACTGATTTTAAGTGGACTCTAAAATTTGTTAATGATTTAAACCCTTTTATAAAATTTGAAATAGAACTGAAAATGAATAAAAAATTAAATTATTTAGACATTACAATAACTAGATCTGACAAAAAACTTTATGTAAGAACATATGAAAAACAATGTAATATGGGAAAAATAATAAATTATAGATCATATTGCCCATTAACTGTAAAAAAGAATGTTATTGAAGCCTTAGCCATTATATGGTGAAGAATAACAAATTTACAGAATATAATAAGATCAACAAAATTTAAAACAGAAGTTTTTATTTAACGATTATCCGAATGCATTACTAAACAAATGGATTAAAAATCATAATTGAAATTTAATGTAAAGGTTAACAATAGTGATAATAAATTTTTATCTATTCCATATGTTCAGGGAATATTCAAAAAACATAATAAAGTATTTAGAAAATGTGATATTAATCTAGCAACAAAAACATATAATAAATCAAGAGCTCTGTTAATTAAAACAAATAATTCATGTATGGAAAAATTGAAAATGTACAGTATAGTTTATAAGTTAAATTGTACTTGTGATAACAAAGTGTACTATATCAGTGAAACTGGTAGATCTTTAGTTATTAGAGTAAAAGAGCACGAATCAGCAATCAGATTAAAGTACAAGCAATTGCCATGGTTCATTCATTGTAACAAATATAATTGTACCATTGATAAAAATAATGTAGAAATATTAGCTAAAGAAAAAATTCTTATTTAGAAAAATTTAAAGAGCATATAATGATAACGAATAATAATAAAACATTAATAAATTTAAATAGAGGAATGGAAACAGATGACATATGGGATAACATCATCTTCAGTAATAAGTGCTATAGATGCAGGTAGAATAGTGAGTGTCTTGTATATCTGTGTGTGGTTTTAATAATTGTAAATTTACTTCATTATAGAAAGGTCAGTGATGGTTTTAAAATTTATATAATTTACCTAATTCATTTGTAATTGTGTACTTTTTAAAAAAACATTTTTATCCTGAAGAGGGATGTGTAGCATCCAAAGTACATAGCATTAAAGGCTTATTAAAAAGTTGATTTTGTAGTCTTGGTCTTTAGTAAAAAAAATTATAGGAGGAATAATATAAAATTAATTATTATTAGCCAACATAGTGTTTTTTAAATAAAAAAAACTGTTCTATAAGTCTAATACTTTTAGAAAACAACTATATGATTATTTGGATTTAATCCAAAGACAACTTATAAGAAATGTTTGTTACCTGAAATAACTTGCTAAATTAAAGGATTTTTCATAATTGCAATATCAAAAATTAATTTTAAAATTATTAGATTTGATTTTATATAAAAATTTTTGTTTCAAACAGTAATGTACAATAGTTTCAGTTTGTTATCCAAAAGGTTTTTCATCTGAAAAATTTATCTTCTATTGTCTAAATTTATAAAATTTTAATACAAAATAAGTTATTTAATTAAGCTTTTGTACAAAGAAAGCAATTACTTACCGAAGCACATGCAAGAATTCCAAAAAATCCAACTCTTTCAACTAGTTTTTCAATTGCCAGTTTTGTCTTATCAATAAACGACTAAAAATAAAAATTTTGTAATTTTAATATTACATGCTTATTTACATTTGATTAAATTATCTTTGACATACTAATTATAATACTATAACATTCCATATAGATTGTTATTTGTACTAGGTCTGCACCAAAAGTTCACACACATTTTAACAAGCTGCAGATTTTGGTTTTTCCATATTATACACTAAATTGATTCAACTCATCATATATTATTCAAAATAAAATAACTTTCATTAAACTACTTAATTTAGCAATGGAAATAACATTTTACATTTTATTTCATTATTATGAATTATCATTTCTAATACCAATCTCTTCATTGTTTTTTTAATACAAACTGATTTATAAAACTTGAAAGATAAAAAATACAATAATTTGAAATATTAAAATTTTCTTCCTTTAAGTTTCTTATTTAAAAATATAAAGAAAAATATTACTTAAAGAAAAACTGTATCTTATTCAAGAATGAAATAAATTATTTTCTAACCTGTTCTTCTGGATGTTCTTTTTTTTTTCGAATTAATTCTTCAAACTGTTTCAATTCATCATCATCTGGATCTTGTCCCGATAATCTTGCTAAAATTTAATTAGTAAAATTTTTTTCAGATTATAATAAAATTACAGTAATTATCTAATGCTAAAAACCATACTTAATTTTCTGTTATGTATTTAAACAACATACAGTAGACCCCCTATAACGCTTAGATACATTCCACGCTAATCAAATTTTACGTTGTAGGAACGATTAAATACATGAGCCAATCGCAGCCCGATAGGTGGGAACTTTACAGACTAAGGCTGTTCGAAAGGTTTTCTTCTATAAAATTAACCGATTCTAGACTAATTCCACTCAACATTTCCAAAACACGTATAATTTTTTGGGAGTAATCCGTATAAACTATGCTATAAACAAAAAATTATAGGATTACTTACCGAGTGTGTACCGTTCGACTACGCCCGTTGTTCAAAGCTTGTCTTCGTCGCGGAACAGCACACGAAACGGCGGCCGCGATATCTGATAAATAATTTATCGCAGAAAGATAACTTGACCTTTGGAGACATCATTAATATAAATAATTTTTATGGCCGTTGAATAAGAAGTGTTTCTTTCACAAGAAATGTATAAAATTAGTGCTGTATTAGACTTACGGTACCTAATTTACATACTGTACAGACGATAATAAACTCAACTTACTAGCCTAAAATCTCCGTAGCGTGTTGCCAGGCGGCAGAAAGCATATATATAATTATAATAAAGTTACAATAAATTAAGTTAATATATAATTATATATACAGTACCTAATTTATATATAATTAATATATAATTATATGTACAGTACCTAATTTATATATAATTTATATATAATACTAAACAGACGATAGCAAACTCAATTTAGCCGCTCCGTAGCGTGGCGCAGGGTCGGAGGTAAGTAGTTCGGCTGCTCATCCACTATTGGTCCAGACTCTATCAATCTTGTCGCGAAACGACGTTATAGGAGGTACTTTATACGAAAGTTTCTACAATTTTTTCGCTACGTTATAGGAATTGTCGTTATAGGAACGTACGTTATAGGGGGGTCGACTGTAATCAAGACTGAACTACATAATCACTAAGCATAACTTCCTGGACTATTTTTGGCTGTGGTGATTGTAAGAAAGCTTATTAATCCAATAAATTTGGACTCTCTTTCAAATTTGCTGCATTATTTGGATTTCTTATAAACTGAAAATAGTCTGGAAAGTTAGACTTAATATATCTACTTAAAAAAGATAAGTGAAACATAAATTTTATAAAATTTTAAATCATTTTTATTTGAAATTTTAGCTTTGATGAGTTGTTAAAATTTTGATAAAAATACAAAATGGTAGATTTATTCAAACATTTTGCAGTATAAAATTTAAGTACTGAATTTTATTTTGATGCAAGTTTTGTTTTCAATGAAATTAAAAATTAATTTTAAAAAATGTCAGTGTTAAAAAATATTATAAAATCAAAAAATGTCACTTTGATTTTCAGCTTATTTGCTAATTAACTAAGAATTTATGAATAATAGCCAATATAAATTTTAACGAGGTTATAAAACTGAATTTTTACAAAACTTACATGCTTTGGCCATGAAATATGGAGGTAATTCACCTAAAGCTGTGCCAGCACCCTTAAAAGATTAGAAAAAATATTTAAATATTTTAAAATTCACTATATAAGTAAAAAGTAGACAAAGATCAGAGTTGAATGCTAATTAAGTTAAAAATACAAAACTCCATTTGATAATATAGTTAAACCATGTATATATGTCCCAAGAATTAACATTTACCTATAATTTACACCACATTTTTCTGTTGTAAATTTTTTCTTTTAGTCAGTTCTATACAAAAAATTTCTTGTAAATTACAGCTTTTTTTACATTTCTTTAAATTTACATATTTTGACTGATTAAATCCATATTTTCAAAAATAAAGAAAAGGAAATTAAAATAAATGAGTTTTTATGACATAGATAATGCTACTGTTTCCAATCTGCCATGGTTAATTCAGTTCTAGTACTGTTTGAGTAAAGTATTCCCGTATGGGCATGGGATTTAAAGTTTCTTCATTCCAAACAGTTTACTAATCTTTTTCAACCTCATAATAAAGAAAATGAAAGCCAAGAAAGAAATATATAATCTCTCACTATACAACTACAGGTATTGAAAGAAGTATGGAAACAAAAGTAAATAAGTATACTAAACATCCCAAAGCCTGATGCATAGATACTCAAATCTACCTCTAGTACCAAATTAATTAGTATCTAATCATTAATCAATAGTAAATTTATAGCCAGATTGTTTAAGGCAATCTTATGATTGAGTACAAGTAAACCTCATGAAGTGACTAAAAATTTCAATTTTGATTTCAAATACAATTGTTAAAAGTTGATAGAAAATTGAGAATATTAAAAAAAGCAGTTCAAGAAGAACATTTTCTTGAACTGCTTGAACATTTTCTCTTCTTTACCAAGAAGAGAAAATGTATGAAGATTTTACCATATGAACTTAAAAAAAATAATATTCAATACAAGATTAAACTGTCTCTCTCAGACCCAGAACATTCTTATTGATAGACTGAGAATAAGAGAAAAAGTTTTTAAAATTGCAAAAAACTTCAATTTACAGATATTTAAAGTATCAAATAGATGAATAATTGTTTTAAAAGAAGGCATAACCTGATCTATAAAACTGAATGGTGAGAGTAAAACTATTAATCCTAAAACAGTGAAAGAGAGGAAGGAGAAAGTTAATTCATTTCTTGGAGACTAAAAAGACATATTTTATGTTGACTAAATAGATTTACTTTTCAGTCTTCTACCTGGCAAAACTTTTTGCTTTTGTGGGAAAAATGCCAAAAGGAAAAATGAATAAACAGAGGTTAACAGTTTTATATAAGAATAAAAAAATTAAAGACAACCAACTTCCAACAACAAAAAAATTATTTTTTTCTTGAATTAATGTCCAAGTCATCCATCTGAGGACTAGTGAACTCAAGTTCTTACCTCCAAATTGTACTAGTGATATAACCTCTTCATGTAAGGATTATTTTTGTTGTTGAAATAAGCTCATTAAGATTTAAGTATGCAGATATAAAAAACTAAAGCATTGCACACAGCAGGTGAAAGATTTAAGTGTAATAATGTTTACTTCTGTTAAGTGGAAATTCCAAAGTTCAAACAAAATTAAGCATTCTTGATGCAATGCACTTTATTGAAAAATCATGCAATGAGATAAAGCAATCAATAATTGTAACTGTAATCAATAATCCTGTTTTAGAAAAACTGAATTAAGGGTTATTTCAACAACAAAAATAATCCTTACATGAAGAGGTTATATCACTAGTACAATTTGGAGGTAAGAACTTTGAGTTCACTAGTCCTCAGATGGATGACGTGGACATTAATTAAAGAACAAAATAATTTTTTTGTTGTTGTAACTCGGTTGTCTTTAATTTTTTGATTCTTATACAGAACTGTTAACCTCTGTTTATATGATTTTAATGGATGTCAAGTTTGGGAAGTGTTTGAAAGTGGGTAACCTGACAATTGGAAAAACATGAATATGAAAAAAGCATTTGATGACCTTGTTAGTGTTAACAGTCCTTTAATTACATGTGAATACTTAATCCTTAACCTATCCCATGTTGAAATTTTTCTCCGTTGTGTGTGGCCGCCATGTTGAATTTTTGTGTATGTTAAGCCTAACAAAAAAATTTTTTTTAAATAATAATTGTGGCTACTTATCGTTAAAAATTATTTTTTTATTTTGCACAAACAAAATAAATACATTGAAAAACATAAAAACAAAAAAGTTATATTTTGAAAGTTTGTTTTAATATAAAAATTATGACGCATAGCAACATCTAGTATCAAAAGTGTTTTGACACAGAAACGAGTATGTTCGGGGTTAATGGCAGGGCCGGCCATCGGGGGAGTGCGGCGGATGCTGTGCACCGGGGACCCGCGATTGAGGGGGCCCTAACATTGTCAAGAATGCACAAGAAAACTCGACAATATTCCTATCGTTGTCAGTATGACGAAAAGTACATTTTATCGTAAACATTATTATTGTAATCTCTGAATTTCGACAATCTTCAAACTAATTCTCGGTGATGCGAATGTTTAGTTTTTGTTATTTGATTCGGGAAACTCCCAAGGATCCCCACCTAAATTTGACTTTAAAAAAAAAATCTCAATACCATATAGCCCGCGTTAAGAAATGAAAATAATACTGTGGCCATCAGCCATATAAGATTATATGTATATTTGCATATAGTCGTAGTTTTAAGTAAATACGACTCTGTTCTAATGTATCATATAAACAGAATAAAAAATTCGAAAAATAGAATTGTGCATCATTTAGCACATAGATCACGAGAACAAATTATTTCTGCGTTAGGAGATGAAGTCCTTAACAAAATTAAAGACGATATAAAAGAAGCCACATACTATAGTATCCAAATGGATTGTACTCCTGATATTTCCCATAAGGAACAAACTTCAATTATTATTAGGTATGTAAATTTTGAAGAGAAAAGATTAATTATAAATGAGTCATTTATAAATTTTATTGAAGCAACTGATGTGACTGAAGAAGGACTAGCAAAAACTATTGAAAACATTAAGTGAGCTTGATTTAGATATTATGAATTGTAGAGGGCAGGGATACGACAACGGTAGCAACATGAAAGGGAAATATAAAGGTGTACTGTACAATCTAGAATAATTACTGTAAACCGTCACGCAATATATGTGCCTTGCCTATCACACTCTTTTAATTTATTAATTTGTGATGCTGCTTCCAGCAGTATATATTGTAAAAATTTTTTGGGGATATTGCAACGTTTATATTGCTTATTTTCTACATCTACAAAGAGATGGGTAATTCTACAACAGCATTTAAACATTACTCTTAAACCATTATGTGACATTCGTTGGGAAGCCAAAATAGATTCGATTAAAGCAGTGCATATGTTACTGTAAAAGACCAAAATTAGAGAATGTCGATATTCTCTGGTAAATGTCGACACATACAAAATACGTTGGTGAAAGACCGAATATTTGGTTATATTATTAAACATTCGAACAATCGCCGGTGTATGTCAACAAGCACAGATAAGCTTTGATGGAGGTCAAAACGACACCCGAAAAGCCGATGTCGACAGAGAGGCGACAGTCTATCGCCAAATCCTTTGTGGATAGTCGGAGGTAGGACAAGGTCGTACCTCTTTTCCTGGCAACGGTTTGGTGGAAATCACCCACTTTGTCACTGGATGGAGTTTTTGTTCTTTTGATCCCGTGAGGTGGGGATCGATTAGTCAGGTCGAGTGGCGGAAGATGAGAGGGTTCGTCAGTAAGGCGTCGGCGATATCCGAATAAAAGACACCATTAACAGATCAGTTCGTGATCACGTAATTACGTAATCAGGTTGTAATTTGTAAAGAAAAGTTACTTTTCATAGATGAAATTTCTTCTCAAGAAATATCGCTGAGTAAAGCAGCTACAGCTAAATCGAAAAGTAGAGGGTAAGGCTATACAGTAGACTCTCCTATAACACTGTAGATATTTCCGTGTTATATGAATTCCATGTTGTACGAGTCACTTAGATTTTACAAATACGTGAGCCGTTCACAGCCCGACACACGTATTTGTAAAATCTAAGTGACCCCTACAGTGTTATAGGGGTCTACTGTACACGCTGTCATTGCAAAAAGAAGTGTTCCACGAATAAATGCAGTTGTAAAAGCGAGGGACTCAAAGTGCCATAACAGTTTAAGTTATTGCAATAAATAAGATTGTACAACGTCAATCACATAATTTATGTGTAAGTTTATTATTGTATTATATTCTTTAATGATTTAGAACGTACTGTTCGTTTTAGGTTCAACAGTTTATTTACATGTGCCGTTACTTAAGCTTTCTCCTATTTTGACATATTAACGTAATAAAAATATTTTTATTGAGCATTCACCATCAGTGCATGCTGAATGTCGACATTTGCCGGTGTAAGTGAGAAATGATTATATTTAGCAAATATTTCGTACATACACGAAACGACTGTGTGAATGTTGACATTCGCCAGATATCGGTCATTCACAGTAACATATACACAGTTTGAACAAACTTGTAATGCCCTAGAAGAATTTATTTATGTAAGTAACGATAATACAGCGGTATCCGAAGCTAAAAGTCTATTGGATTCAATACAAGAAATGCCATTTATTTTATGTTTAATAGTATGGTTTGCAATGTTGTGTAAAATCAACGCTATCAATATTATTTCAAGCAAAAACAATTATTCTTGAGTCGGCTTTTAATTTAGTCAATAAAATTAAAACTGAAATCCAAAATTTAACACATTTTTAGACGAAGTAAAAGTGCTAGCACGTAATTTGAATATTTCAGAACATTTTCCTGAAAAAGGAAAAGGTTATATTCCGAAATAGCAGATGAAGCTTTAGAAAACCCGGTAGAGGAATTTTAGATGTTATTTTTTTAACACTCTAATTGATACTGTTATTGTACAAATAGAAGATAGATTTAAAAGTATACCAAATATTATTTCTGATTTCAAATTAATCACTGATATGAAAACCTTAGAAAAACATGAATTAGAAAAATGTTCCAAAA